AGGTCGGCACCTGTGCCAGGTCGCTAGTTCGGCGCTTGTGCTAGGTCGCTAGATCGGCGCCTGTGCCAAGTCACTAGGTCGGCACCTGTGCCAGGTTGCTAGGTCGGCACCTATGCCAGGTCGCTAGTTCGGCGCCTATGCTAGGTCACTAGGTTGGTGCCTATGCTAGGTCGCTAGGTCTGCACTTGTGCCAGGTCGCTAGTTCGGCGCCTGTGCTAGGTCGCTAGGTTGGCGCCTATGCCAGGTCGGCGCCTGTGCCATGTCGCTAGTTCGATGCCTGTGCTAGGCTGCCAGGTCGTGCCAAGGCCAGGCTACGCCTAGGCCAGGCCGCTAGGTTGTGCTAGGGCCAGGTCGCCAGGTCGCACCTGTGCCAGGCTGCCAGGTTGCACTAGGGCCATGTGTCACAATATCATTGGAGGGCCAAATCCGCCCTCATCAGATATGCCTTAAATATAGGACTTAATGACAGGGAATTAAATGAGGTAAAAAATAGTAGTTGAAATTGTATTTTCTGTCTTCACAATTAAAGAGAGACTTAAATTATGGTTTTTAAAAATTAAAATTTAATAAACATTATTATTTATACATTAATACACTACACCATATATTTATATCTATACTATGAATAGAAGTATAACTTTTGTTTTGACTAAAATACCCCTACTCTAACTCCATTTTACCCGTCCTACTCTAACTCCATGTGCACCACACCAGTTCGTTCCTCAAACTCTCCCATATCATGAATTCCGGTCAAAAAAGTTCTCAGCCCAAAATCTATGACTTCGATATTCTTTGCCTAAAAACCAATTGCAAATTTTCATAACATCTAAGGTGGAATTATATGTATCTTGTTCTTACCAAAAAAATAAAAAATCTAAGGTGGAAATAAACACAACAATTAAAACGAATGAAGTAAAAATATTGCCTCCCATTCAAAATCCTCCTGCTGGCCTGCAGACGCAACCTTGAAAACATCACTAAGTACATGGCCAGTTCAGAGTATCAGTTCTTCCAAGGACGGTTTGAGTTGGTCACATGATTTCCTCAGCAACCTGGGCCGTCCAGTAAAGAAACCTACTCGGCCCGGTAAGGCTTCAATTTGTGTTTTACAAATCTAAATTTAGGCCCTAGTGATTCTTTTGTGTTTGTTGGTGTATTAAAATTTTACCCAGTGGCCCTGTGCCGACTCTATTTTTGTTACCATCTGTCTCTGTTGAGCTTTTCTTTTTCTTTTTTTTTTTCCATTTTTTATTTGGATTGAGACTCTGAGAGAGTGTGCTCTGACATAAATTATGCCAGACTGACCCCACAGGATTTCTGATTTCTCCCATTCATTGCATCTGCCATCCCTTCCCTTGGCCCTTTCTCCCTTCTGATAATTTTGCGCAAAATCTTCCTCCTTTTTTTCCTCCATCGCAGAGAAGTGGGAGACGCTCTATGTGATGTCCGACCTGGATTCTCGGTTCAAATGCTGAAAACTCTCCGGTTACGAAATGGGTCTCGGCTCAAATGTAGATGTCTAGCTTCTGGTCTCAGGATTCTGATCCAGTAAGTTTGTATGAGTTTGTTTGTTTATGAGCATCAGTTAGCGGTGGCATCCTTGACCTTTGTTTTTCCTGTATTATTTATTGGGTGATTTTTTAAGTTGGTGTTTTAGTTGTGCTTGTGCTTGGAGAAATCTGGGAGTGGGTTTGATGGTTGGAACTCGGAGGAAGGTTTCTGGGTTGGATCCGTGTGGAAGATTCGAGCTTGTTTTAATGGGTATGTTTTAGTTTTAATCTGCATGCATATGGGATTGTTTGTTTGAAGCGATTTCTGTGACGTTGTTGGGTATTTTCTCCAATCTGGATATTTTTGTGAGTTTTCGTTTTGTCTCTCCCTCTATTGGAATCGATATGTTTGTTATTTCCTCGAACAGGAGATTGTCGGTTTTGAGAAACAAAGGCGAAGGGATTTTGTTTTCATAGAGTTTGAATCATTTCCTAGAGGACCAATCTCAGAGGGGTTTTCTTGGTGCTTCTCCGTGGTTTCCGTAGGTGAAACATTCGATTAGACATTGAAGAAGAAATGCTTACATTGGTTTGACTCCAGGTTGTCTTTGGTAAGGAGAAATGGAAGGAAACTTATCGGCGGGAAGTATGATGCCAGGTGCTTCGTATGGAGTTTTAGACTTGCAGGGATCTATTCATGCTCATCACCAAAACCCTCATACCCTCCATCAACAGCAGCAGCAGCAACAGCAACAACTCTCGCACCCTCATCAGGGTTCTATGCTTCATCCCCCTATGAATGATGTTTTCCCCCACACCGTAGGAAATATGCATGAATGTGATCAGTCCATCTCTCTTGTTGATTACAACAAGGGAGATAAGGGGAAGGGTTCCACAAGCGAGGAAGATGAGCCAAGTCTAACAGAAGATGGTGTTGATGGCCATGCGGAACCCGGTAAAGGGAAGAAGGGGTCGCCTTGGCATCGGATGAAATGGACTGATTCGATGGTAAGGCTTCTTATAACTATTGTTTCTTACATAGGTGAGGATGCTGCTTCTGAATGTGGCAACGGAGGAAGAAGGAAGTTTACTATCTTACAGAAAAAGGGAAAGTGGAAGTTGGTGTCAAAGGTCATGGCTGAGAGAGGGTGTTACGTTTCACCACAGCAGTGTGAGGACAAGTTCAATGACTTGAACAAAAGGTACAAAAGGCTGACAGATCTTCTTGGGAGGGGTACTTCTTGCAGGGTTGTTGAGAACCCTGCACTTCTGGACATGATGGATATCTCAGAGAAAGCAAAGGATGATGTTAGGAAAATTTTGAGCTCAAAGCATCTATTCTATGAAGAAATGTGCTCATATCACAATGGAAACCGATTGCATCTACCTGCTGATCCGGCAGTTCAACGGTCCTTGCAGTTGGCTCTTAGAAGTAAGGACGATCATGCAATTCATGACACAAGGAGACACCTCCAAGATGAGGTTGATGAAGAAGATCAAGATGCAGAAACTGATGATCATGATGATGAAGCTGAGGATAATCATGCCTTACATGGTGATAATGGGGGAATATTTGGGGGGCAAGGTGGTTTTACCAAGAGAATGAAACATGGGCAGGACCATGATGATGCAAGTTTTGGAAATCCTTCTCACGAATGTAATAAACTAGCCTTTTCTCATCCACAAACTATCCCTGTTGACATGAATCAAGTGTTCCCTGAAGGCACCAAAGCAGCTTGGTCACAGAAGCAGTGGATGAAATCTCGCTCACTTCAATTGGAAGAACAGAAGATACAGATCGAGGCACAGATGTTGGAGTTGGAGAGGGAGCGGTTCAAATGGCAGAGATTTAGCAGGAAAAAAGACAGGGAGTTGGATAAAATGAGAATGGAAAATGAGAGGATGAAGCTTGAAAATGAGCGCATGGCATTGGAATTGAAGCATAGGGAGTTAGAGGCTGACTTTAATCGAATGCCCTGATTCATTCTGTACACATCCAAAGAAGCTCAATGTTCTTTATTTTCAGTATGCTGTTGCTGGCGGCTGGCCTAGTTGGAATTTGAATTTTACACTTTCTTGTTTACATCATGTGTCTTCCTATGTGCATTGGATAAACTTAGGAGAGGGAAGGATACCAACTCTTGACATACGAGGGCAACACATGATAACATGATCAGGGTGTGGAAAATTATGGCAACAATGTTTTCTTTTTTGTATCTTTTATTTGGGTTTCTTGTTGTACTGTCATATACAAAGATATCATAAATATGGTTTGCCATTTATCATGGTTGTCTTAATTGAATCATTACTGGATAAATTAAGTAAATTATTTAATGAGACTAGGAAGACCTTTATGCTTAATTAAATCGCTATCGACTTGGGCTTTCTACTGGGGTATATTTTACTCATTCATTTTTGCAACTCAGAGTCCAAAGTTGCTTTAATTCCTCCTCTGCTAACTTAATTTGTGGCTTGGGTTTTCTTTTTTTATTATTGTTTTCTGATTCTTGAGTTAGTTGGACAAACTGGCAGCTGAAATTGGAATCTATATTACCTATTATAGGTTGGTTTTGGTGAAAACTGTTCCTTGTGTGCTTTTTTCTAAGTAAAATCATCTCGTGTTCTTTGTTGGCACAACTTGTAAGTTGTAATTCCTCGATTTGCAATTTGATTTACATGTAGCTTTCTTTTTATGATAAATGGAAATACTAGAATTTGCAATTGTTCCTTAGATGGCCTTCTGTATCAGTGCCCAAGCTCTGGTTGGTATTATCAAATTAATTTGCTACTACTTCTGAACATTTTTATTCGATGAATAAAAGGCCAAAAAGGCCATTACTCAATGTTGGTCCCAGCTATCTGGGGTTGTGAGGGGTATGTTGGACTGTTTTGATGAATAATGATCATAAATTCATAAAGTTTTAATTTTATTTGGAAAAGAGATGAAGCCCTTCCAGGTGAACATGGCAACACTGTAGTAGGGAAATGAAACAATAGTTGGTAGAGAACAGCATAGAGCTGAGTAAGCAAAAACATAAAGGAAAGGACAGAGAAAATAGAATTACTTTTGCGGTGTAGCCACAGGACCTGATACCCTCCTCTCTGCTCCCCCATCATACAAGGTTTGGTGTTCCAATTCCTTCCCTTACCAGTGAATTTTCTAAGGTATTATCTGATCTGGGGACCCAAATGAACAAGCTGTTCAAGAGGAAGCTAATGATTTTGCCTCTCTCAAAGCAAATTTGACTGACTGAGGATCCTCTGTGGAACCATCAAATCTATCACTACATGGTAGTCCCTTTCAATTACCAACCAAGTCCAGCCTGAAGAGTATGCTAGCTTTAGGCCTTGCAGAAGGGTCAACAATTTTACTCTAAGCCAGATACCTTCACCAATGAGACCAGAAGGGCATGACAGAATGGAACAAGTGTGATTTCTGAAAACCACTCCTCCAAGGGGCCAAGATTACCTAAAGTGCTACCATCAAAGTTGAGTTTCTGAATATTTTGAACTTGGTATATCTATTTTTGTGTGTATACAACTTTATATGCATACATAGAATATAAAAAGCAGTTGACAAGAAAACACTGCTCAACTATGATGCCCTGATACTTGTACATGCACATGAACCGTTGTTGGACACAATACCTACCAGATACAACACTGGATACTGCATGATCACTTCCAGATGTACTCTATAGCATTAACACTTTTCAATATGTAAAATAGTATGTTTTAACAAATTATGCTATAACACAATGTGTACATTTATTAACTTAAATTTGGCAAGACATGAGTCTTGACTCTTGAGAAATGACAATTAGGTTCAAAAATATATGTAAAAGAATGATATAAGCATATTACATGGGCCTACATCAGGAATTTAATGAAATGGAGATCACGTCCCATTTCCTGTATCTGTGCCCATGTTCATATCCAAATCTAGGCATCACAGCTGCCCAAAGCTGCTAGCAGTCTGGTTGCTATTGGTCACAGTTGGGCAATATTCTTTGATTTGGAGGTTTTTGGTAATAGTTAATCACATATGTTGTTATTGAAGAAATTGTTCATTTTTTCTTGATCGGTGCCAGAAAAGGTGCTTTATTAGTTAGGACCTTTGGTCCTGTGGGGCACACTTTTGGCTGGATATGATGAATTCTGGAGATGCTTGTCTGGGGATTTCTTTTTGTATACTTGGTTTAAGAATGCTGATAAAAAAAGATGGTCTAAATGAGAAATATAAAAGAGATGAAAGGTATAACTAATATTATTTGTAAAAGTATAAAACATAGATAAATAAAAAAGAAATAATTAGGTCATTCTGTTTTATCAGTACTAGTTTTTGGACTCCTTGTGCTCATAGTTGCACGACTAAGGGAAGTTTTACAAACAGTTAATATTCCAAAAAAGCCAAACAATTTTAGTTTTTCTTTTTTAATTTTTAATAATTTTTATTGTTTGTCTAGATTTAACATGTTTCTATGTATAGAAGTTAAATAACTTGCAACAATTTTGAAGAATGACCAGCATTTCTTTTTGATTGTAGCAGTTGAAGTTGAAGGAAAAGAATTCTATGTACAGAAGGATGCATATCTTTTTGGACTAGCCAAATGGTCTATCTTCTATTTGTACATCGTTGTGGTATGTTCCTCCAAAACAATTGTGTCCTATTCACCCCTTGTTTTGCCATTGAATCAGCCAAGCTATTTGCTGTTCTTTGCATCCATGTAAAAGTGGCAGCCAGCTCTTTCCACAGATGCTTGATCTTCCTCGACACATGCCTGTATGACCAGTTTGTTGTTACTGCTTTAGTGTTATGGACAAGATTTGGAGTCTTTTATCATGTACGTATCTCTTTTGAGATGTGCAGGCTTAACTCTGAAGTCTGAAGAACTTGTTTAGCTTGGGAAGAGAGTGTATAAGAATTGTATTGTTTAAGGCTCGAATCTAACTTTTTTTTTTCATTTGTTCTAAGAGAAGATAACCATTTGAATTCTTGACAACTTGAATGGTTCTGATTGAAGCCTCTTTGGAGTTGTCTATACATCCTTTCATATACATGCTCTTAGAACTTCAGTAGAAACTTCTCTTCCAAGAACTTTGTAGTCTGTAGAGCAGTGTGTTTTGCCTCATTTCAAGGCCTTGTTTGTGGTCCTTCCATCTTTATGGGGGGTAAATGTATTCACCATCTTTATCATTTTAATGCATTGATTTTGACCTTGTTACTCATCACAGTGGAGAAAGAAACAGAACTTTGTAAAGACTGTTATCACTGTTTGTGCAGCACAATTAATCATATACAAACCCAACAGTATGCATAGGTACAGGTAACGTGCTAGGTCTAGGGGCATAACCCTTGAAGTCTAGCATTACTGGCCAATATATGTTTTAATTTTGTTGTGAACTTGGTCATCTTTAAAGAAAACAAACCAACACAGTGCTGAAAGCCACTGGGGAGGAGACAGGAAGAAACAGTTGTTTGGATCATAGTTGTTTGGGGCATTTTACAGTCATATTTTAGCTTGAACCAATCTACTTGTCAATGCCAAGATAGTTCATGGCAAGTTCTCTATAGCCTGATTTCATCCCATCAGGTTTGCTATTGCTCCTGGGTGGGGCTCTTCTACTGAGACAAGCATTAAACTCAGTTTTGGTGATGTCCTATTGGCAACCTAGAGCTGTTTGTGATGGGAGTTTTATCTCAAACTGATGCAGGATGGTCTTGCCAAAAATAAGAGGAAAGAAAATAAGCTAGGAATCAGCACCTAGAGAGTAAGAGAGGTACCATTGAAAACCGGCTTCTGATAGTTTTTTTGGGTTTTTTATTGTTCAGTCCACCCATAAACTTTAGTACAGTTGGAACAGTAACCGGGGGGGGGGGTAGTGAACCATAGGTAGAGTTGTTAGTAAATAAAACCCAAAAAGACCTAATAAAAATCCCTGTGGACTGAGCTCTAAATTTCCCTAGTTTTTTTCAAGGAATCAACACCATGGAAAAAAGCACTCCAACATTAGTAGTATACTTGTACTTTTCCTTGTGTCAACAATGGAGGGCTTTACATACATTCGAGGTTTGGGATGTTGACACAATCCACTTGATACAGGGTATATTGTATCCATTTCCATAGAGATTGGCATGTGGAAAGGGTGGAATGGGGTTCGTAACCATTCATTCTGGACATGCCAATTGGTATCATCATCTGTATTGCACCTTACCCAACCTGTATCCGTTGATATGGACCGAGGACCATGTGCTGACAGATTGATTTCTGTTTGCTGGCTTCACTTTTTCAGCGCATTTTCTCACTTTTGAGCTTTCCATCCTCATCTTTAACACCTGTGGGGGAGTTTCTATCTGTACGAACACCTGAGATCTTGCATTAGAAAGGAAGAGAACTCCTTGGGATCACGAGGAAAAGGAAGATGAAGAATGCAATTTTTTTTCTTTTTTCTGTTCATTCAGTCCCTTGATATTAAGTGAATCTACATATTTGTTAGTTTCACTTTTCCAGAACATATTCACATTTTTTTTGAGATTTCCATCAGCAAAAAACATGTGAGTTCTTGCATTAAAAAAAAAGAAAAAGAAAAAAAGCTCATTGGAATCAAGAAAAAGAAGAGAAGGAAGAAGAGAAATGTATTTTTTTTTTCATTAAATTCATCAAGGGGTGAAGACCAGTAGTGCTAGCCAATATGTTATAATAGAAACTTGATGAAATTCTAAACTCCTAGATATTTATCATTTTATTTTCAAATTTCTTATAATTGATCAAAAATCTCCCCACATTCATCTTATTGACCCCCCTCCACTCCATGAGAGTACAAAAATTACATTGAGAGGTATATTGGTTGTTGGAATCAGTTAGCCTCTTCTCTTAGGCTTTTTATTTATGTTTTTTTTTGTTCTTTAGTGTCACAGGGGCATTTTTGTAATTTTTTGTTTTTTTATTATTAATTGGGTCGCCCTAATATATAAGCTAATAGCTGGAGCCGCCAACTACATGTTTGAATCCAGTTTTTGTCTCTCCTCTCTCTTCTCTCTTCCTCCTCTCCTCCTCTCCTCTGATATCTCTTACCTGAAAACATGGTATTAGAGCGGGTCTTCTGAGATTAGAAGCCGCGAGATCTCTCTCTTCTTGCTGTGGATCAAACCTGTCAAGGAAGTGCATTGGACTGATTTGAAGTTTTCTACACCCTTTCTTCCCTTCTCTTTTGGTCATGTGCCAAGAAACAAATTAAAGAGAGGGAAGTTTGATGCTGTGAAGGTTCTTTCACCTGTTTTCTGTGGATCGTGTGGTCCTTTTTTGTACCCATGTAAGGGGGTTATGGAGGTT